GGGTCAGATCTGACCTGCAGCCAGCCGTTTGCTATCCCTTGTTCTAGACTCAGTCCTTAGGCACAGCATCCTAGGCCTAAATTCCTAACTGGTTCTATGTTTACCTCTGAATTAACATTCTGATTGCCCACTGCCAGCTAAAAGGATGATAGGATCCAGCCAATGAAATATAGTCACTTCTGTCTTCAACGAACCTTTCATGCGAGGTGACAGTCCATTCAGTCAGCTGTTCTCAGCTTCGGTTGTACATTGGCACCATCTGGGGAGACTGAAACCTCCCACACCCAGATCAATTATGTCAGAAACTCTGGGGTGGGGGGAGACTCTATAGCTCAGTGGTAGAGTGCATGACTAGCATGCATAAGGTCCTGGGTTCAAGCCCCAGTACCTCCACTAAAAAGAAAGAAAGAAAACCTAATTATCTCCTCCCCAAAATAATAAAATAATTTAAAATGGAAGAAACTCTGGGGCGGGACCCGGAGATCAGTAGTTTTTAAATCTCCTCGATGATTTCAGTGGGTAGACGAGGCTGAGAACCACTGATCTTGGGAGGAGCAAAGAACTGGGACTTCCTCAAGATGCAGAACAAGTGATATGGTTGTTTCTGTCTGCTAATAAATATTTGTTTAGTAACATCTTCATGTATGGGAGAAACTGATGTGAGCCTTGCTTTTATTGTAACAGGATGGTGAGATTTCTGGGAGAGTAGCTAACATGCGTGCACACCTCATGCACAGCAAAATAAGCCACCAAAAAATGAAAAGGCACGCTATGGAATGGAAGAAAATATTTGCAAATCATATATTGAATAAGGAATTAATATGCAAAATATATAAAGAACTCATACAACTCAACAGAAAAAAAATCCAATTAAAAAATGGGCAGAGCAAATAAGTAGATATTTTTCCAACAAAGACATACAGATGTCCAACAGGTACTTGAAATGATGCTCAACATCAGTAATCATCAGGGAAATGCAAATAAAAAACCACAGTGAGATATCACCCCACAGCTGCTAGAATGGCTCTTATCAAAAAGACAAGAGATAACATTTGTTGGTGAGGGTGTGGAGAAAAGGAAACCTCGTGCACTGTTGGTTGGACCTGTAAAATGGTGCAGCTACTACAGAAAATCACCACGGAGTTTCCTCAAAAAGTTAAAAAAAAGAACTACCATATGCTCAGCAATTCTACTTCTGGGTACTTACCCAAAGGAAACAAAATCACTATCTCAAAAGGATATCTGTAGCCCATGGTTATTGTAGCATTATTCACAATAGCCAAGACATGGAAATGACAAGTATCCACAAATAGGTAAATGGGAGAAATAAAATGTGGTGTGTATATATACAGTGGAATATTATGCAACCACAAAAAGAAGGAAATCCTGCCATTTGCAACAGCGTAGATGGACCTTAAAGGCATTGTGCTAAGTGAAATAAGTCAGCCAGAGAAAGACAAATACTGTATGATCTCATATGTAGACCTAAAA